CATTTGATATAAATAAATAAATCCTCGACATTATCGAACACTGCCGTTAAAAGGCCTTCAGTTTCGTAACAGTTATTATGCCGCGTGACTGAACTCGACGCCATAGCAAATAATCATCAAGCCAATCTGAGTATACAATATGAAGTTCAGTTTGAAAATAGCTTCATGCATAAATGATGGTCTGTCACCCCTTAGACAACGTGGCCGTGAGTTGTATAAGACCGTTAGTGATTACCAAATTATCCACCCACTATGTACACTCCATTAATTGGCTTCCTGGGCTTAAAATGTGTTTATAATTTTACTTATTCTCAACTACTTTATCATCTATTGACTTTTATCCCATGGAAATATTATTATATGTCAATGTTCCATCTATTTTTACTTATTTCAAGCCTGGATATTTTGCACACTCAGCGGCAATCATCTATTGATGGCTTTTTAAACAGCCAAATTTGCATTTGGAATTGTCCACTTAAGTTATGGTTTTGATTGGTTGATTGTGCTTATCCCCTCGTGTGACTTAAAATAACAAAGCCCGTCAATACTCCTACCTCTCGAACTTGTCATTTCCTACGCCTCCCCATCCTACAATCAAACAAACTTACTAATTTTAATGGCTTCAATGAAAATAGCAGGCCCAAACACATCAACGTCGAGTCTATTCTCAAATATGATCTTATTTTCGTGTAATCCTTTCTTTTTGAAGAAAAACACGCGTCTTTTAAATCTTCAACCATCTATAAATTATTATTATTATATCAAATGGCTGGCGTCTTGATGGTTATCATTAGCCCTTTAGTTGACTTCAGGCTTCAATGAGAGGAAGGTACATCAAATTGAAAAAAGTTGAGAGGGGAGGGGGAACAGAAGAGTGGTTCACAGTTATAAAAGGGACAGGCAGACACAAAGGTAGAGAAAAAGGTGAGGTGAGTACTATGGAAGTAGTCGAATATGACAAGGTAAGATGAGTACTGTGAAAGGGGTCAAATATGACAAATAGTCGAGGTAAGATGAGTACTGTGGAAGGGGTCGAATATGACATACGGTTGAGGTGAGTACTGTGAAAGTAGTCGAATATGACATACAATGAGGTGAGTACTGTGGAAGTAGTCGAATATGACATACAGTAAGGTGAGTACTGTGGAAATAGTCGAATATGGCATAGAGTGGGGAAGATGTAGAAGATACAGACACAAAGGTAGAGAAAAAGGTGAGGTGAGTACTATGGAAGTAGTCGAATATGACATATAGTGAGATGAAGGTAGTTTGAAGTCAGAAGTCAAGTGCCGTGTTATAAACCCGAATATGACATAGAGAAGTCAACTGCCAGTTAATAGATCATGGTAATTGAAGTCAGAAGTCAAGTGCCGTGTTATAAACCTTTTTGCCGTATGAGTGTACGTTGCCCAGGGTGCACCACGTGAAGGTAAGTCTATCGCACACCTCACCACCTATAAATAGGCAAGAGGAGAGTTGTAGAGGTAATTTAACCGTAACAGAGACTACTTGTATTTACTCATGGAAAACTTCAATTCGTTTGTGAGACAAAATTTTGCTTTTTACTTAACTTAAATATTTCAATTTATTGGAAATTTTAATAGGCCGTTCTCCCTATCGAGGAAGGGTTGACAAAATCAGTTTGGTTTAGGGCAGTGAACTGAGTAATCTCATTAGAGCGGTGTAGTGCCAACATTCGTCTAGCGTTGAAAAACGCTTTATTTTCAACTTTTTCCCGTTTACCGTCCTGGTTTCCGCTTTCCCGCCATTAGAAATAGATTTGAGTTGTTTAAATTTTTACACCAAATACGAATTACTTTAATTAGCGTAAAAGTGAAAAGAATTTAACTTTAATTGCGTGAGATTCGTTGCCTTATCATTTATGATTTTCCGACCTTTAGAAAGGAGAGATTCATAGCTCTAAGCCCTGGTGAATGAAAGGCAGTTTTGGAATAAACCGCATTCGGACCTCTCACTGGAACACCATTTGCCGATAGAAAAGACTTTTTTATCGAATGAGTACACTCTGATAAACATCCAACTCATTGTTTTTTGATTTGGAAGATGTTTATATCAATGATCCCTCCTTCAGTATTTCGGAAACAGTGCCACTTGAATGTTGATCATGAAGAAGAACTGCTATTTTGTACTGCTAGACTGGTACTTTCATGAATAACTATGCCAACTTCTCAACTGTCCAACCAGCTGGAAGGAACACCTTCAAAACTAAATAGCACAAGTTGAAGCAAAAATGTAGGAAAGGCAAGGCGTTGAGAGTAATGACTCATTTTGACCAATTTTCATACTTTTACATTGACCTTTAAGTGAATGAACTTGGTACTAATTTTCCAACCCGCTAGAAAATTTGACGTAGGAATGAGGTATTAATGATTCGTTGTTTTTTGCATTTTAAATAATGAATCTCTCGCCTGGTATCCCTCCATCTTCGCGGTAATGCTGCTCTATGTATAATGTCATTTATTCATACGATTGCATAAGGTTTTTAAGTCTTTAATGATAATTCATTGATTGGTTCTATTTATCTCCTCCCACAATGGTGAGGCTGACGCAAAGAAGTACAGGAATTTCCTAGAACTTGAAGAATGCCTACGTTTAATTGACGTGTTATTGCCTATTAGTCTGTTTGACAGTATAGATATTCGTGTGCTTCCGCAAATTTTGCAATCAATTCTAATACTATTTACTAATTATCTCTTAAAATATTCGATTTGGCACAGAGAAATATCAAAATCCTCAGGAGAAATTCCTATGAATGGATCATCTAACACCGGTTCAAGCATTTGCTCCTACCCCCCCCCCCCCCCCCCCCCCAACATTAAACAATGCGGACCAATTCCGATCATTTTTGAATTTCCAAAGTACCTCTTCACTTATTTAACAACTCAACTAGATGACATCTACCCTGTGTTTTAAACTATCCTTTCAATAGAGAGTATTTTAATATCTGATATCTAATCGTCTATAATTCTATCCCCTACTTAATTGGAGCAGAGGCCTCTACCAACTGTTTCGCCTACTTGTGACGTGGATTCACTGCCAGACGGTGGAATACCTTTTCTCACCTGTTTTCTCTCTAAATACCTTGCGTACATGTGACTCATACAGCCTACCCGATTAGTCGTATCACAAGAGAAAAGAAGGATTAACCAGCCATATGTGAGTGTTTTTTTCATTCTGTTTTAAACCAGAATTTGGCTCCTCTAATTATCTTATTTGTCCCTAAAATGTCCCCCAGGAAAACCGGAGACTACTTTATCGATTTAAATGGTGGAGCAAAAAGTACACTTGTGTCAAATGTCGGGGGGTGGGGTGGGGCGGGGGTGGTTGGAAGAGCCCTCTTTTTAATCACATGATATTAGATATGGGAAATGGAATTTAATGGAAAACCTGAGTTGTCCTCGTAGGAATATTGAAACTTGCTATCGGTAAAGAAATGTGAACCAACATCATTTGTTATGAATTAATGAAGGCTTGGATATCTCTGTTAGGGCGTTAAAAAATACTCATTTTATATTACAGGAAAATTGGTCTATTTTAAAACAAACTGTTTAGCCAATGAAGCCTTCCATTGGATCATGGCACATGATTATTGATTTTAGGATAAGCGACTGAATTTTTCATTGCAAGGTAATAATATTATCACTTTCATTAGCCTTGTGCTATTTGTTAAATAATTAGATCTAACAAATCAGTCAAATTTGATTTTGTTATGACTTATGAAGCGCTTTTAGAAAGGAACTTACTTTGAACTTTCTAGCAACACCATTCTATTCCCATTTTATTTCCTCACCTCAATAAATGATGCTGGGAGAGAAATCTGCAGATTTCACAATTTAAGCTGGCATTATACTATAAATGTGTTTATTTCATTCAATCGAAAATAATCATTCAGCATTCTTATTTTACAAGACGATCAATTGTAAGACCTCGAATATTGATTATCGTCTCATTGTTGGTACGTAAAATTCAATTTTCATTAGAAATTAGTTTGCAAAATTATTGTGGTTGAAAGTGCATTGTTACTTGCAAACCGGAAATCAGTTATTTTCATTTCTAGCATACCTTTGTAGCTTTGTACCTTTTAATGCATAGTGGATGTGTGAATTGGCTTACGCAAATAGACTTGAGAACAGACATTATTTCGACGTATATAACTTTAAAATGATTGAAAAATAGCTCAATTTGTCAGCTTTTCAGTTCTAAATATTAGCTGCCAATTAGCTGTCACTTAGAAGTAGAAGAAGTCACGGATAGAGTAGTGTAAAAGGAACACAGCTTTCAAAAATTTTTCTTCCAATTTAGTCTTTTGAAACATCGTGGTTAATGCCTTATATGAGAGTTCGAGTTCATCGATCTAATGAATAAATTACCACTTTTAAATGTATTGCAGCAGCGTTCTAATCAATCATCCAAAACTTTATATCTTCACATAGGCATCAAAATCAATACGTAACTGAGTCTGATTGGTTGGAATTTTGTACATAACTCAATTAGATGACACTATGCGCATAAATAGATGACTGTCAATCAAAGTAGCGGTGTCATATGTTGGGCCATTTTCTTAGTTCGTAAAGATTTTAAGATAACCAATTTAGGTAATAAATAGACTAGGAAGAATGGCGTTTAGTGTCTCTCGGAGTTAATGTCTTTCGGGCATTATTTACTTATTACATAACCTTGGCTACTAGCTTAAATGTCACTATTTACACTTCCTAGAATGTTCTAAACATTTGGGTAGTTTAAACAAGTTTCGAAAAAATAGTACTTCATTTTACTCAAAAGTGTGCCTATTTTAAAGAGAATTCTTAATTTCCATATTCCTAGTGGATTCATTTATCGTCAACAAAAATATCTTTAAGTCTTCTAATTGGTCGAGCGGTTTAACCAATCACCTTCAACATGTTGCTGTAATTGGACGCTTTCATTAGGCAGGGCGCATTTGCAAGAATCATGCCATAGTGCTAACAACCAACGGAAAGATGTCATCGTCGAATTTAATTCTTCCCATAAATGCTCTCCTCTCTCTCCTTTTACTCCCTCTTATTGAATGTCAGACTCCCAATATCTACTCCTCCTCAGACGCCTTTGAACCAATTGGTCAAAGACGTTGCTTCAGACCAACTCGTATTGAAATTCCCGAATGCAAGAATCTTTTCTATAACTTTACAGCTTTCCCGAATCTTGTTGGCCAAGAAAGCCAGATAGATGCCCGTCATCAACTTCAGACATTCAAACCTCTCATTACCTACAAATGTTCAAATCATCTGGCATTCTTTTTGTGCTCAGTCTATGCTCCAATGTGTGACGTCAATACGAATCACCTAATCGGCCCATGTCGTCCGCTTTGTGAACGAGTTCGAAAACGATGTTCACCTGTGCTCAAGATTTTTAATTTCGACTGGCCGGCCAATTTAAATTGTTCACGATTCCCGGAAAAGAACACAGTCGGGGGAATAATGTGTATGAAAGGTCCAGATATTCCTGAGGACTTCGACGAACCTACTCCAAACAAAAAAGAAGATACGGAGGAGGATTACGAACCTATTGAAACCAAAGACGAAGTGAAGAAACCTTTGGAGAATGGACCTCCTGGAAGGAAAGTTGAAACTTCAGCAGAAGGACTACTTAGGCAACTTGAGGAATTACCAAATAATCCTTCCACATTTGGTGGTAATGATCGACTTGGATCTCATCTACAGACTTGGCTGACTAAATTGCACGAAAGTCCTTTGCCTATTGAGTTTGAAAATGAGGAAGCTCCGATTGCTTTGTTGGTTTCTTCCCTGAGGTATTGTTCTCATCTATCAAAGCCCACTTCATATGTGTTTATTAACAGAACAGGTCGGTGTGCTCCGCACTGTACCGCGGATGTTCTATTCTCTCCTAGCGCTAAAACTCTTGCCACAGTCTGGACTAGTGTGATATCTGGGTTATGCTTGATTGCTACTACAGGAACTCTGTTTAGTTTTGCTATTCAACCCTCCCTGTTCCATACTCTAGAACGTCCAGTAATCTACATTGCAGGATGTCAATTTGCCTACGCTTTGGGATTTGCTCTGCGACTCAAGCTCGGTCGGAAAGCAGTCACTTGTGGAAAAGATCCAGCATCTGGATTTGCTATTCGACTCCAAGAAGGGCTTGATAATTCCAACTGCGCTATGGTATTTCTTGTTCAATACTACTTTTTTACAGCAGGAGCACTTTGGTGGGCCATGATGGTGATTGGCTGGGCTGCAAGGTCGACTCACCATCTCCGCCTAGCTCAAAGGAGGTGGGATGAGGGCTCACTACCTAAGAACAAGTGTTGCGGTTGGCAGCGTAATGGAAACGTCAGGAATGGAACCCAGATGGGAGAAGGTGATAATTTTGGCGATAAGCATCCGCGAATCGGATCCTCGCTAAGATTTGCTCAGCTAAGTCGACGGGGCGTTAATAGTTCAAATGCTGACAGGAATTGCTTAGCGAAAGAGCATGTTGTTGCTTGGCTAACTCCGGCTCTTCTGACTGTTGCAGTACTCGTCAGTCGACAAGTAAGTTGCCTTTAAAACAATATTTTTTTATAAACCATGCTTATTTATTCATTTGACGCGGGTGGATGCTATTCCCACAATTAAGCTGCGTTAGTCCATTAGGGAATTAACTTTGAGTGAGCACAGCCCATGCAGCTCCGCTAAGTGAAGTGTTTCAGCCTCTTTGTATATGCCTCTGTTAAAACTGTTAACTGGGAACAATGTCAGGTAGGATCACTTAGAAGAAGAGGCTGGAGTTGCAGGGTCTACCCTTCTTCATTCCAGCCCGAAAGGGGTGACTTCTCGTCTCCTTCCCATTTGTCACTTCTTTTATTTTCCGTTAACCGATTTTGGTCGCTTCTCGCAACTTCGGAAAGTAAAAAATAGTGTTCAATAATTACTGTGATCAATAGTAAGGTGGCACCATTAAAGTTGTCCGGTCATGATTACAGTTCCAGTATTTGTTTAAATACAGAATGGTGTTTGCTGTCGGTTTCTTTTCACAATCCCCTTTATAATTTGTCAGACGTTCTGCTGTTCGAGGCCAGTTGCCTTTCGCGGTAAAATTCCTATGAGATCTGTTTATTCACCATCATTATTTGTGATCCACTTCCCCTGCGGTCATTAGAGATCTCAAAAATTATGGGACTTTTCAATAGTAGGTCTAAAAAAGGTCTATGCTTACTTCCATTTAACGGCTGAGAGAGGTTGCAAATCAGAAGCCACTAAATGAACTTTTTCATGGTTAATTAGGCGATTTGCTAATTAAGAGGAAGGCTATTTCTCAATTCTCGCTTGAATTGACATGTGGGGAACTGTCACGATGGGAAAGGGAGGGAGAGAAAGGAGGGGGGGAGGGTGGGGCGGGAACAAATCATGACCCTCTATACATACTCCTGCTCACCTCCCTCCTCCCATTTCAGGCTTTCCCCTCCATACTTTCCTCTTCTCTATGAGTCATTATTGTTAGTTTGTGAGAGGCTGTCTTTCTTCCTATGACGATAGAGTGGGGCTTTTTCATTTATCAAAGAAAGCAAAAAAAAAGCGATTGGCCACGTCGCGAGATGTGGTGGCTAATGGAAAGGAGTGGACGAGTTGGTACGTCATTCTATTGAATAGTAATGTCAGCAGCTCTGACTCGTTTTAAATGAATTAAACGTCATTTGAATAACCTTAATTCGACCATCAATACACTGCCCTTTCATTTAGCTGGATATCGGGAAATTATTTCACGAAATAGCATTGATACATTGTGTATCCCGATAAGTATAGCCTTTTTTACGGTTAATCAATGGAGTCAAGTGATGGTCGATCTCTGTATTTGTTTATTTATATTTTATAGTCCATTCGAATCCACTATCCTAACAGTAGGTGAGAGTAGTCTTCAGTATATAACCATTGCTGATGGTGTGGTAACGTGTAAGGTTTTGGTCTTTAATGTGATATTCTCACACACACACATGTAGTTGTAGAGAAGTCCTCTCTCTCTCTCTCTTTAAAACCTCATTACCTGAGATTGTAGGAGCGCCCAGCTTGAGCCCAGCTTTTTCGATGCAAGTTGACGTGGGGTATTGTGGTAGATGTTGCCTTCAAGAGTGGCGTTTTTGCTGATAATAACACCTACTTTATCTTATTCAATTCTGATTGCGAGAGGGAGGGAGGGAGGGAGAGAGTATTCTCGAACTAAACAAGCTTTCAATATTTAGTTGTGGGGGGTGTACGATAGACTTGCTTCCACGTGGTGCACCCTGGGCAACGTATACTCATACGTCAAAAAAAGTCTATGAACTGGCAGTTGATTTCTGATTTCAAACTACAATCACCCCACTGTATGCTATATTCGACTTCTTTCACAGTACTCACCCCACCTTTTCCACTTTTGTGTCTGTTTTACATCTTTGAAACTCTATTCTGTTCCCCCCCTCTCTCTCTCTCGACTTGTTTCACTTTGATGTTCCTCCTCTGTGAAGCCTGAAGTCAACTAAAGGGCTAACGATAACTTTCCCAACGCCTGCCATTTGATATAAATAACTATTTAGTTGTGGTACAGCTCCCGTCTTCAGAGGGATAGCGCAGTCAGTTGAATCAGACCACTGAGCACTCTTTATCTTAATAGTAAGAGGTTGAAGTCAACATCAACTCAAAATATCAATAAATTTCCTTTCGAAATGGCTGTTTTCTCTCAAGTTATATTCGATACTTCTTATCTTAGACTGATCTATTTTTTATATTGCAAAAAAATCTTTCTTAAGTTGGTGTTAAATCAGGTAGGAGATTATGGGGGTATGAATATGGCGGCACATGGGAACCTACGCGCAGATTGAGACTTACGGGGTTCCCAATATTAGTGCTCGCGGAGTCTAATCAGATATTTGCAAGCCTGCTAAGTGCAGTATATTTTATAACATGGGGTGTGCGATAGACTTACCTCCACGTCGTGGTGCACTCTGGGTAACGTATACTCATACGGCAAAAAAGTCTATTAATCGGTAGTTGACTTCTGACTTCAAACTACCAAGACCCCACCGCATTTCATATTCTACTAATTTCACAGTACTCACCTTTTTTCAACTTTTGTGTCTGTCTGTCTCTTTTACGTCTGTGAATCATTGTTCTGTCTCCCCTCTCGACTTTTTGCCACTTTGGTGTTCCTCTTCCTTTCTGTGAAGCACGAAGTCAACTAAAGGGCTAATGATACCTATCATAACGCCTGCCATTTGAAATAAATAGATGTTTTATAACATAGAACTTGTATTCATGTGGTCGATGCTAGGAGAATGCGCCCTCGACAACTATAAATCCTAATTCTATCAAGGAATTGTGATGTGCATGTAGTGAAGCTTTTTTTTGTCTTGGCTTCACTCATTCTCTCTCAAATTTGGTGAAGTTGATAACGTATACAATCGACATGAGTGAATTAATATTGATAAATGCGTATGTGCCTGGCCTAATTTTTGACGGCATAAACAAAATTGTGAACACACACACCTTGCTGATTGACAGCACCCCCTAAATACTCACCTTGCTATTGTTCGTGCATGCTTTTTTTGCACACACACACACCCACACCCACAAAAACTCACCATCAAATTGTGAAGTGATCGAACAATGCGCACGGAGCACACCACATCGTGCAAATAGCCTAGCTAATTCTGCGTGTTTTGCTATTCCGGAAATTCTAGCCCGTGTGTTATTGTCGTTTTCTGATTGCTTTGCGCTCGGTTTATTGGCTTATTACGATCTAGTTGAGTTGAAAAGTACGTAGAATTGAGGCTCCTCACCCAAGTATTCTTGTTAAGCAGATTCTTTCTCACTATACTTTTTCATATTAACAAGAAATATCTCGTGAAGAAATCAGTCGACTTATTTACAGTCTATTCTTTTCGGTTCTGTGACAGACGCACCGAGAGAGGGAGAGAGAGAGATAGCAACTATGCGCGTAAACTCAAAGAGGATGTCAACTCCGACTTTATAATATGTGGGCGACACCAGTCTGACAACTGGCCATATCTATACTGATCTAGAGCCATGAAAATAAGACCTGCTTCTTTTAACCAAAATGCGCATAGTCTAACCCCTGTTTATATTATCCTCTTGCTTAGGTTGATGCTGATGAGCTACTTGGGATATGCAGTGTGGGACGCCAGAACACCAAATCCTTGCTGATTTTCATTCTGATTCCACAATCGATTTTCCTGCTTGTTGGCCTGTTTTCCTTCGCCAGTTGTATCGTCCAGTTGTTCAAAATTAAAAGAGCACAACGACAGCGCCAGCTGGCTCCTAGTGCCACAATGACAAATCTTGATGCACAATCTCGTTATCTTGTCTATCATTCGGATCAACAGTCTGAGTTTGACGCAACAGTTGTTGACAGTAGTGCTATGAGTGCGCCTAGACGACAGTCAACTTCATCCTGTTGTTGCTGTTGTCAAAGTCTTCGATGGGACAGCCTGAGTACCCGACTGGGATTTTTCAGTCTTCTTTACATTGTTCCTGCTGTCACTGTGTTATCATGTGATTTCTATGAATATCTGAATCGAGATAAATGGCTAGCCGGGGACCCCTTAAATGTCATCTCACGAATCATTAAGGTTACAGATTCTCCTCTTGCAGAAGAAATCGATGCGAAGAAAGAAATTACTCCTGAAGTGTTCCTTCTAAGAACTTTCATGTCACTTGTCACAGGATTTGCCACCTGTTTGTGGATGTTGTCAGTGAAAGGAATCGAACCCTGGAGACACTTGATACGCCAGCTGGAAAATCGATGTGCTGGGAAGTGCTGTTTTGGTCCCGCCCCAGTAAAGACTTCATCACAGACTCAACATCCACCCGGAATGCAACACCAATCGCAGCATACAGCTGTATCGTCTCAACATAGTCAACCCGTGTCTAGTAAGAATACTCCTAGCAATACTTCGACAGTTCTACATCCCTATGCAGTGTATCAACACTGCTGTTCTTCTAATAAATCATCCCACGACGCCATGAATCGTTGTCCATATAACGTTCGACCCCCTGCAGGTCCGGGTTTGGATGCAAATGAACAATTCTTTGTCCAACAATCAGGAGGTTTAGCTCATGCTTCTCCCAATCAAGCATCAGGGTATTACAGTTCTGCAACAACCACGAATAACAGCGTGGGTTCTGGTTCAGCCATTGGTTCAAGACCGCCACCAAATACACCACCAGGTACGGTAAACGGAGACTCCAATCCAGGATCTTCAGCCGGCTGGTGGGAGATTAATAATAATCACTTACAGCACTCTCATCACCAACAGAAATTAAAACAGAGCGGTGGAAATTCTAGTCGCCATGCAGTTTTGTAGATGTATATATATAAATGTATGCGATGGACGCTAGTAATACTTCAGGATTAACAGGGTTTTCGGGATAACTATTCATACAATGACATCTTGCCCCAGTGATGACACTTTGCATCCGCTCTTTTCTACCTTATTCCCTTGATCTATCTTCACCCTCTCACATTGACTTTGTGTACTCTCATCATCCATTCGCTGTTTTTTTGAGATATAAGACAGATTAACGTGGCTCATCTCATACTTACACACACATTATATATACAGTATATATCATATACAGTTGTGATGTATTCTTGCAGTAGTATGTCTGGGATTCATAAATACGTGGAGGAGGCGTCACGCTTTAATTGACAGCATTTGGAGTGATTGTGTGTTCTAAATTGAAGAAATCTAGGAGGGAGGTGGGGGGGGGGGTGTTTCATCTGGAAGCAGTCGTATTTCTCCCTCTGCCTTTATACGGAATTTTGGTTTCTAGAAGAAATGACCGTTTTCATCGCTCTTAGTGAATGTACTTAAAGCTTAGTAGAACGTGACCCAAATATCACTCGGGGGATTTGGACTGCTCTTTCAAGGCCTGATGAGGGGAGTATTTGGATGAAAGACGAATTTTATGCCAACAAATTTGAAGAATCGTTGGCATTTTAAATCCAAATTGTCCATTATTTTGGAGATAGCAAAGAGGAGCACGTGTAACATGAATTTGCATGTCTTGGGGGACCGTTTCTAAGCAGGCTCTGCTGTTGGTTTTTCTTCCTGATGAAGACCAAGATTTGAATGCTTATTTGGTATTTTCATTTGAATGCCTATTGGAGGGAGAAAAGTAGCTTCAATATTCTTGGCTGGGGAGATTAAATCTCCCCATCTCACGGACTAAAAAGCAGAATATTGTGATTCGTTGTTTATCTCTGTGTGTGTGATTTAATGAATGCTCATTCAATAATCCACTTAATTACTAAACTACTCTAAAGGATATGATTTTACGCTACCTCTTTATCTATCCGGACAGCGGAATTGCGATAATTTGCAAATAACAATCGTGGAAATTATATTGATTTCTTAATCATGTTATCTTTAAGTCAAATTCGCAGATATCTACAAACCATGGGAAAATCATCCATTCACCTCAAAGATATATTGGGTTGGCAACTAAGTCATTGCCGTTTTTGTTGACGGATTCACTCTATACTTTCTTTTGTTTTGTTGACGTGGCCAGAGCACCTAACCTATATTTTTTTCTTACTGTATGGGCTTCTAGGTTAATTAGTAAAAAATTTTTTTGTTTAGTTCTTTAGTTTTGTTTTCATCCCAATTTAAAAATGAAAGAACAGGACGTGCACTTCCGACACATTTTATTGTATTACTTCCGAAAAGGCAAGAACGCATCGTAAACACAAAAGAAGTTATGTGCCGTATATGGAGATGAAGCCTTAAAAGAAAGGCAGTGTCGAAATTGGTTTGAAAGATTTCGTTCCGGTGATTTTTCACTGAAAAATTCACAACGATCTGGCCGCCCAGTCGAAGTGGATGAAACACATATCAAGGCCATTATCGATTCAAATCGTCACAGCACAACACGAGATATTGCAGAGAAGCTCAATGTGTCGCATACATGCATTGAAAAAAATGAAAAACCCTTGGTTATGTCAAGAAACTTGATTTATGGATCCCTCACCAGTTAAAGGAAATTCATTTGACACAACGGATTAACATCTGTGATTCGCTACTGAAACGCAATGAGAATGATCCATTTCCGAGGAAGAACCTAGTTACTGGCGACGAAAAGTGGATAGTTTATAACAATGTTACTCGCAAGAGATCATGGGTGAAGCAAGATCAACCAGCCCAAACAGTATCAAAAGCAGAGATTCACCCCCCAAAAAAGATTATGCTGTCAGTCTGGTGGGATCACAAAGGAATTTTGTATTTTGAACTCATGCCGCAGAACCAAACGATAAATTCAAATGTGTATGTTGAAGAACTTGAAAAACTGAAGGATGCAATTGAAGATAAGCGGCCGGCATTATCAAATCGGCGGAAGGGTGTTGTTTTCCATCATGATAACGCAAGGCCCCACACATCTTTGGTTACTCGGCAAAAATTATTGGAACTGGGTTGGGATGTTTCGTCACACCCACCATATAGCCCTGACCTTGCGCCTTCGGATTACCATTTGTTTCGTTCCATGTAAAACTCTTTAAATGGTAAAATTTTTAACAACGCGGATGATGTCGGATCACACCTAATTCAGATTTTTAATAGCAAAGACCAGACATTTTACGAACGGGGAATTTTTACTCTGCCAGAACGATGGAAAAAGGTCATCGACAAGAAGGGCCAATATCTAATTGAATAAAGTTATATTTTTAAACAAAAATTCCGAATTTGCCTTCTTATTTGAAATGGGCAATGACTTAGTTGCCAACCTAATAAGTTAAAAGTAATCACATTTCGTCAGTGTACTTTCTTAATTACATCCAATTTTATAGGTGACGGCTGAGAACCCCCACCTTACTAAACTGGACTTGAAAGTCCTGTGCTCATTTAGAATCCGTTAGAAATGCGGGTGAATGACAAAAAAGGCCTTGTAGTTTAAGGACGTCTAGACGTCTGCGAAATCATCTCAACTGTTACTAAATGCGTAAACGGAAAGGCACACTGAGATGAAGGATGCCTTGTTGAATTTGCGTTGGCCACTGCTTAGGTTTCTTTTAATTCATTGGTATGCCTGGGCATGAATTTCACCAAAGCAGTAATTCTTTCGGATTCACAGGCAGCAATAAACTCGATTAGAAATAGAGAGCTACCCAAAACAGCCGAGATATACGAATATGGGAAACTCTATCAGCTGCTGATAGTCCTACAATGGATTCCTGGTCACCGTGGCATTAAAGGCATTGAGCTTGCTGACACATTTGATAAGAAGGGGACAACAATTTTGCAAGGCATAGACCGACCGATGTCTTTCCACACAATGAAGACCTTAATCAGGAGAGAATTCAAGACCTCAAGGTGAAACGAGCTTAAAGCTAGAACAAAGGAGAAACAATGGACAGTAGCACTCTCCGACATAGTCGACTGGTCAAGAATCGAAGCCGATGCTGAGTTTAGACCACGTACCGGACACGATTGCCTGGCAAAACACCTTCACAGATTAGGAGTATACACTCAACCAACATGCCCCCTATGTGACCTAAGAGTATACACTCAACCAACATGCCCCCTATGTGACCTACAAGAGGAAATGGAGAAGACCCACCTGATTCAGTGTCCAGCCATAAAGACAACAACGGAAATCTAGAGATACTGGGAAGCCAGAAGACAGCTAATGAACTGCTATTTATGATCCTCCTCCCCCTTGTGAAAGCCAAAGTTAAATAATGATAAATATCATAAAGCCTGCCATTTGAATTAATAATAATTAATTCGTTGGTTTTGTGAACGAATTTATGATCTTTAATTCCAGTGCCTATGACGAATTGATTAAACTAAAGACCTATTAATGGCAGAAATGTGTCAATAACCTGGCGTCAGTGCGGGTAACTCAAACAATAACTGCAAGACACCTACTTATCCGATACTTGTTAATAGTATGACTCATAAGAGGCATTAAGGTAGCTGTGACAGATGCCACTAGAATGCTGTATTCTTGAATGACAGGTCTTCACGGAACTCGAGAGTGCAACCTGTTTATGGGACATGGCTAAAGTCAGCAAACTCTGACATACAACACTGAAGGTAGTATTTGTGGACAAGAGTGAATTTTTGCAATCTTCAAAAAAATCGCAAATTTACTAGCAGTGGGAATTTTGTTGTGGTTCTGAATGACTTTCCAGTAAGGAAAAGCACTCAAAATACTGGTGAATAGTTTTCAGCTAACTTATAGTTAATGATCAGAGTATAGGAAGATTGGAAAGAAGTAATGACGCAGAGAAATCCATCCCGTGTGTAAGTTTTATTTCATTACCCTATCTAGACCCATGCAAATCAATATCGTTATTTGGCATGCCACTCGCAAACTTTGCAGGAACAGGGAAATGATTATTTTCCACACGCCCAAAAATTTTAATTCACTTCAAACACCAACACAAAGCAGGAATGAGTCGATTTCAGTTGGATTTTGTGAGCCTTAGAGATACATATTAATTTGGTTTGTTATTTCGAAATTGAAAGGTTTCATACTTCGTTAAGAAGACAGAGAACTAATCAGTGTTGCAATTACTAAAACCTACAATCCTGCCTCAGGTGCATTAATCTTTAGACCGCAAACTATTCCATTGTCAAGGTCATGGAATTTGTCTATTCTAGCCCAGCTCAAATTGGTTATTGAGGTCGTAGGGGGCATTGCATGAATTAAGAACCCCCCACCCTGTTAGGTCACACTTTGTTTATAGTTATCAATGTTGTGCCTAGTTAAATCATAACCAAACTCAACGAAACACGAAAATTTTTCGCATTTGGATAATATATCAAGTTTACCCAGGCATGAAATGTTAAGTTTTAATTTAAAGATTTCAATTCAGTTACTAATGCTATTCCACCTTCCATTTGATCTTCTTAAGTTGAGATGGCTATTGATAAAAAAAATTCAATGAAGAGGGAAGGGGGGAGGTGAGAGGGGATGGGAGTTTTTATCTTTGAAATCCACTGATGTGGATTCACACGAAAATCAACAAACTGGTTATATTTATTTTGTAATCACATTTCATAAACTTGCCAGTTAGTTCAATGGTAAGTTAATGTATTATTTCGGAATAGGTGAAATTAATAGATGTAAATAGCTATGCCATTTTTATCATAACCAAGAATGCAAAGCGGTTGTTATTGTAGGCAAAGATTTGCGATCAACGCATTTGAGCATTATTCCACTTTGTCAGATCTTGTGATGACAGATGAATAATTATGGAATTGAATCCGAAAATTGAAAATAACAAAATCATCCAACTGGGATGAAATATCCAGAGAGAGAGAGAGAGAGAGAGAGAGATGAATAGGAGCGCACAATTTCA